ATATTTTCTCGACCAAGCGTGAGGTAGAGATTGTGCGAGAGCTCTGCGTCAGTTGGGGTTTGTGCTCAATGGACCCTTTTCAAAAATCAAAGTCCTCTTGTGGCAGTCCAAAAAGCTAAAATATTGCCGCTCTAATGGCGGTGATAGGAGATCATGCGCGGCTAAATCAGGCACCCTCGATTTCGTGCATCGAAGGTGACGTGAAACGACCAACATCTTTCCCTTTTTCTGCTCTACGCTTTTGAAAACGTTTGATTTTTCTGGTGTGGAGAAACAGTGTAGTTTCGCCATTAGAGCGTCGGGTCTGGCTCTGCACAAGGTGGGTAGACTGACTTTCGGAAAGGGTCTCTTGGTGCCCCAGTCAAACGATGACGCTGCGTTTGACTAAGTCAGCTCAGCGCTGCTTCAGAAGCACAGACGAAAAAAAGGGCATCTTGTTGTTGACCCATAGTTTTAGTTTACAGCTTATCCGCTAGGGGCTGACAATTTTGTCTTCTTTCCAACAGCCAGAGCCGCAGGCTACTAGGTCAAATCACAGGTATACTAGAAACCACGCGGCACGTCACTCCAACATGCATATCGTGCTTCAAGACGTGCGTACCGATACGCAAGTTGGGCCAATATATATTATGTGGTTTCTAAATGGCACGTGAATGAACCTGGCGTCCCGTAGCCTTGATCATTGTTCATCGTGGGGTGAAACAAAATGTACGGGGTATTCAGACGATTTTCGATCGCCATGACAGGGGCCCAAGATCACTTCCGATTCTGGTTATCTTTGTCTGATTTTAGAGGGCACCATTAAAATAAAGTATCGCATGTTCCGCAATTCTACCGATTGTTATGGTGTTCTGTCGTAGTGTTGAGCAGTTGACAACGCAACCTTGTTTTCGACGCTTTTGCAGATTTCAACGAAATAAGAAACGGCGTCGAGCATAGTGCACTCGCTGCAGTTAATAAAGCGGGAAATTGTTTTGGACTTGAATTTTACACTGCAAATCGTTTTGTCGGTCAAAAGAAAACTATCCCAACATAGTAGGAAACCAAATCACTCATTTTGGCTATAATAAAAATTGAGTGGGTTATTTTTTCCCTTCTCTCCTTCGAAACCTTTTGCCTTTTCCCTCTGATGCATCCGCAACGCTGAAGCACATCAGCCGAATTAATCCAGCTCACGTATTGGAGACAACTCCGTCACGCACACTGCGCTCGTCAACATTTAATCCTTCAGCGAACATTCGGGTTCGCGATCATGGACAATGAGTGCCGTAACGAAATGGGCAAATTTTAACAATATCCGTAACTATACACTCCGTGCAACGCGACTGGCGCGCCGCTGCGCGGCCGGTAGCGAAGGTAGGCAGTGAGAACCCCGGAGAAACCGAAACCGAAACCACGCCGCGTACTTCGGTACGCATTGAAGTCGGAGTGGTGCGGTTGCGCTGGGTTCACGGCATGAAGTGCTGCCTGTGCTGCGTCATTAAGTGCTTCAATAGTTATGCGCCGTACCTCGTGGAGACAAAGTTTCACAGTTTTTCACCTCGCCGATGTTTTCTGGGACAGCGACAACGATGGAGCCGTGCCGTACGACACGAGAAATTTGGTCTCCCGATCATGTCTGCCACTGTGTCATCACGGCTGACATATTCTACACTGCCGCTTTGCGCTCTGCGTTTGTTTTCGTACCAGTAACGCCTACATGTGTAAGCGCCGATGGGACGAACTGAAATGCCATCCCACACTCGCGGGTATGAAGTGCCAATTTTGTTGGAGGAATGCCCTCCAAAGAAGTTTCGTCCCCATCGTACGTGTCATTGATATTTCCGGACAAGTATGGCGCGCAATCTGTACTTCATGAAGAAAGATTCGAACGGTAAAAAAAGTGACAAATATAAACCTAAAGAAAACAACAATGAAACTCGGAATCACTGGGGAACCGACGTTTGAGTATGGAAGTTTATGTGGTGTGCTTTCTTTCTGGATCAGCCTCCTTTTGGATGTGAAAACGCTGACACCCTGAGTTCTGTAGACAACAATTTTTTTTCTCGGCTTTAGAGCCACCTATCGCAAAGTGGTTCGAACTGGAAGTACCGTCCACTGGTCTATTTTTACCTGTAAAGTGTGCACCTCCCACGATGAGTGATATTATCTTGACAGCCTTTGACGGTCAAAACTGGTTCCCATTTAGTTACGCCGCCCAAACTAAATTTCCACCTGGTTTCGCTATGCCAACTCTTTTTGTTATAATAAGTGTTGTGCCAAGTGACGGTCATGTCAAAGTACCTGTGCGCCGAAAATCAGCACCTCGCACAACAGGTTATTACACAACAGCTGACCGCAAAAGCCCTTGGCGGCCAAACCGTGTGTTGGCCGACATCTTTGTTTTCTCGGCTTTGGAACCACCTTCCGTAAAGTTGTTTCAATTGGAAGTACAGTCCACCAGTCCCTTCCTACCTGTAAAGTCTCCACCTCCCACAATCAGTGGTATTATCTTGACAGCCTTTTCATGGTCAAAACCGGTTCCCATTGAGTTACGCCGCCCAAACCAAATTTTCACCTGGTTTTTCTATGCCACCTTTTTCTTTTTGTATAATAAGTGCTGTGTCATGTTACTGTCAAGTCCAAGCACCTGTCTACCCAAATCTGCACTTTGCACAGCCCGCTGTAACACAGCATTTTGGGTCCAATATTGGATATCCCGTACAGCTTTATTTCTTCATTCGTGAGAAACATAACTTTCACACCTGCTGTCTTAAAGAAACTTGGCACTCTTCGTGCACAAACTAAGTGAACATCTCACTCGCCTCCAAATATCATCGTTCCAGCAGTCCTAGGTTTACAGCGACGAGCGAAATAAATTTCTCACTCAGAGCAATTATGGTGGCGGCCGTCTTGTTTTTCGGAAAATTGCTCCAACTCCTTTTTCGGCCGCAACTAGAGAAATTACCCCTAATAACGACTCAAACTCAATATATAAGAAGTGGAGAACAGCTAAATGCCCTTCTGCCCCAGCACTCATGCAACGTCACCCTCAACTTATCGGCTCAAAAAGCAAAAGTTTCGTCCGCGCGCGCTTCCGCCGCCACAGCTTGGCATGCGAAAAGGCGCCGCAGGCTGCTGAACGCGCCTCACAGTCGAACGCCAGCTCCTCCGCTAGCGGCGCTGCGCGCGTTTTTCAAAGCGCCCCCTATAGTTCCCGCACGGAGTGTATACGCCACAATTTATAGCTTTTTGTCTTGTTTTTTGTTTTTTTTTTTTTTGCAATTTATGGGCGAGCAAGGTTAGAAGTACAGACACGGGCATGCTGCATCGAACGATGCTTTCAGTGCACGAGTGCAAATGCTCGACAGAGACTTTCCAAGCCCGGAGCCTTTGCCCGTAGCCGCACCTTTCCTTTCTTGGCTTCTACTACACTCGCACGTATTTCACTAGCGACCTATTACCTACCTTGGTTCCAACCGTGACGTCACAACCAGGATTTGGCTTGCCATGGCGTCACAAGTTCTGATCATGGCTACATATAACCAGTGGCGAACGAGAAGTTGGATGGTGTGTGTACGGGGGCTAACACACCGCTAATATAAACTGCTAACCCCCCCTCACCCTTACACGGTTGAGAGAACTTTCGGATCCCGTGAAATCCTGCAGCGAGAACGTGATTTCTCATTTCGCGATTGATTTGAAATGGAAAGCAAACTTCGCTCCTACACTCATTATTATCATTTATTTTTCTTAAAAAGTGTAAGGATTGTTACGAGAATGGATTCCTGTTGTAGGTTCTATAAACAGCAAAAATTTCGCGTGATTTAGTTGTCAGAGCATGTCACCGCTTTAGTTTTCGATAGTGCATGTCATTGAACATACCGTCAAGCTCTTAACGAAGGATGCACAACCTCTGGCTTCTATGGCTAGCAAGGAGACATGGTCAATACTCGGCGATCGAATTAACCCACTTGAGCTCGTAGCAAGTTTAAACCTTCGCCAGTTACGGACATTTAACGACGCGTCGACTAACGCTAAAGATCCTGATAGCAGCCCAGCTGTTATCAGGCTCGTTGCCTGAAAACGGCTGGCAGGCTGCCGATAAAAAAAAATGCTGTTCGTATTTTTCACCGCGAGCGGTTTAGAAGACTAAATTTGACACTAAACTTGATATGAAATACATGTATTTCGGCCCTAAGCATGGTGTCACATGAGATAATATTGGCTGCTGCTCTACGGGGCTAGGTCGAAAATCTCCTGGAGTTGAGGATTTTGGAGAAGCAATATAAACGTCATTAGTATGTCTTTTTTTTTTTGTTCTGTGCATTGTTGCCAGGAACCAGTAAAAAAAAATAGAAGATGGATATCGAGATTTTGACCTAATATGGAGGATAATATTATTGTGTTAATTCCACTTCTTTCAAAATCAATGTTATTGATATGTCCGTTACCTTGGCCTTTGAACATAAATTAAGAAGAGCCTTATGTTATGCATTACATTTTAAAAAGCAAAGAACGACTTCTGAGAACGAAAAAACGCAAGGTGTAGGGCAATACAAGGAACAAAATGTGGGGGGCCTTTTGAAGGTTCGCAGGCCTTTTGAAGGTTCGCCTGCCCTTTAAGAGCTGTGGGTTTTCTTGTCTTTTTTGTCATACGCCTGTCTTGGGCCTCAATATTTTTTTTCCTCGTAAGCCTTCATCATTAACCCAACCAAATAGGAATGCTTGCAACAAAAACCATTCATCTTTGGTTGCGCCAAGGATGAAAGGCTCTTGCCTCGTATTTGTTTCAGCGTTCAATTATAGACACTTCGTGTGAATTAACTTCAAACGGTTTGATGATGGCGTCTTTAATAAGTGTCGTAATTATTGTACTTTTCCATTTTAAGTTCGCATTTCTATTCTAGGTAATCTATTGGCTACGACTATTAGTCACCTCTTGGCAAACCTGACTTTAAATACGATAAAATTTACCCACGTGCGCTTATCAAAATAGAAACCTCCGTCTTACGTTACAGATGGTGAATTACCAGCTCGCCGAAGATGCTATCGACGCCAGAGCGCAGTCCTTGCAGCAGCTCGGCCGATTTCTTTGGGAGAACCCCGAGCTGGGCTTCGAAGAGGTCAAGGCCCACGACTACCTCGCCCACTACTTGGAGTCCCAGGGATTTCATGTTTCCAGACACTACATCCTGCCCACCGCTTTCCGGGCCGAATGGGGTGGTAAGATAAACATAGGCGGTTTCGGCGTTTTTGCTAGTACCAATAGACCGATATCACCAGCCAGTTTGTCTACGCCGCCGTTGCCGCAATGCATGGAGGGAACGTTAGTAGGGAGTTTTCGTAGGTCGTTTTCGCCGTCCCGCAAGGCCCTCCGCAACCCGCTACGATAGCGGGAACTCCACAGTCAAGGCTAACGGCGCGCAGGCGCAGTAGCAACTTCTTCGTTGCGGAACAAGTTAGCGGAGGGGGCAGCGCGGTCTACGAAAACTCCCTAGTCTTTCTACACGAGCGATAACCTCGCTGATGGGCTGAGCGTGCAAAGCTAATACCAAGTAAAAAACAAAGCTTGCGCCCGCCCCCCCCCCCCCCCCCCCCCAAACACCCCACTCCCCAAACATCATCCCTATGCTAGGGTGTCTGCTTATCTGTCCGTCTCATGGTGAAGACATAATTTGTTGCACTGGTTGGACCAGCGCGTGACGCGCTGTCGGACCCGGTACATGACAAGGCAGCTAAGCCCCTCCGCTACCAGGAACTCTACAGCCAAGGCCATCGGCACGCCGGCGCAGTGGCGGTTTCTTCGTAGCGGAAGGTTAGCGGACGGGGAAACACGGCCTAGTAAAACACCCTATATTAAGTTATTAACCAAGGCTACGCGCTCGAGCTGGGTCACACCGGACTGCGTGCACTTTAGAAGACATAAAAAAAAACAAAAAACGACTGGGTGCGTGTGTGTGTGCAGACGCTCAACACTACGGGTCCACGCAGCGAAGCGTATACCATGCGTCAGCATCGCCATCAGAGCGTTTTGCTGCATCTAACAACGAATGCGACGGTAGCACGCGGCGACGCCGAGACGCGAGCGTCTGCAGCTGTAGGGCAACTAGCTCGCCGAGCTTCAGCATGTTTGCCGCTTGAAGCGGGTCGCAGATATATTAACGATGACGTCACGCGTAGGCCCTGACTTCTAAGCGGTATTGACAGAGGCCGAGATGGCTCGAGCGACTTTTGTGCATTGCCACCTGCCTCATGTTATTTAAGGTTATGGCGGCGTCACGCATACGCCGAACGCTTTGATGAGATTTGCCTGCAGTGTTCCTAGTGTTTAAGGTTTAGCAAGGAGGAGAATTAGCGCAGGTTTCCCCGGCACAAAGCGCAACACGGTTAATTAGCCCGAACGCTGAATCGTCAATGTTTTTTTATTAAGGCGAAGCCTTGTATGTCTCATCGTTCAGTCGACCTTCAAAGTTTTTGAGCGAAAACACGTCGGCGACACGAAAGGTACCAAACGTTTACGTGATCACTCAGTGGATGACTAAGCGAATTAAGACGATAATTCAGCACATTGAGAAGGATGACACAGCACATTGAGAAGGATGACACAGCACATTGAGAAGGATGACTCAGCACATTAAGAAGGATGACTCAGCACATTAAGAGGGATGACTCAGGGAGTAAATCATGCGTCTGTCTTTAATGCATCGGCGCTTGGGCTTTTGCCTTCAAGTCGTCTTAGGGATAACATAAGAGACCCTGCGAGTTTTTGTTTTCACATGACTGAAAGGTTACGATCAAAGCTATCGAGGTGGTGAATTCGATAATGCGTCGCCATATTTCGAACAGTCCAAACAACTGACTATCTTTTGCTGCACCAACTCGTGTAGTAAGGTTTGGTGTTCAACACTAACCTTGATCAGTTAACCGCTACAAAGCACGGAAACTGTGCTCACACTGTGTCGCGCAGTCTACTTCCAGGATCCATTAGCGCAATTTACTTTTTCGCGTATCACAGGCCCAGGTCCCGTGGTGGCGCTGTTGTGCGAGTACGACGCTCTGCCTAACATGGGCCACGCTTGTGGGCACAACCTGATCGCCGAAGTGTCGGTCGCGGCAGCCGTTGGCGTCAAAGCTGCCCTGGACTCGCTGGGACCGACTAAACATGGAAAGGTTGGGCCTTGGATGCTCTTTGCGCAGTGCACAACTTGCGTGATACACGCGAAAAATAATTTCATTTTCACAAGTGCGCGCCATCGAGTCTGCTGCGTTAATTAGCCATATTCGCCATTGTTTGGGCGCGTACTCTGAGCATATAGTTGATACAGGGCTGGTCAGTGGTACTCCAAAAAAATACTCGGAAATATAAATACTGAAATACATGTATTTTAAGGCCCAAAATACATACACTGAGATATTTTGTCTCGTATACAACGGGATATACCTGCGATATTTCTGCAAAAACGGCGAAAAAATATTCCGGAATACAGATACAAAAACTAATAGAAATACATTTGTTCCGGAACGGTGCTACGTAGGGAGGGTGTACCTCGTGGTGAATGCAAATGGTAGTGTATGCTTGTGCTCCTCTTTTTGTGTAATTTTATGCACTTCCCCTAGCTAATGACTGTTTATTTATTATTAATGCCACTAAAAATAACATGTCATCCCCGGTGAACCACATAGTTACTGAGCGGTAAAGACTGCATGAAATAAACCCTATTTTTCCGTGAGGGCACATCTCTAGCTGTCGTCCTATATGCTTCTGAGTCACCCATAACGTGAGGAGATTAGACAACGGAGCCGTATCTTTTCTACACTAAAGTCCTTTGCAACGTTCGCTCTACTTAATAGCCAGCCGGCAACAGCCAGGCGGCGCCGGCAGAGTGAGAGCCCGCTGTTATATCCTGTCTCGTTGTAACTTGGCAAAGGGTGAACGATGAGCCCCAGATTGCGTGCCGAAGGCTTCGAAATGCGTGACGTATACGAGCGCAATGCACACATATTGGAGCATGACGCAGCGAAAAGTCTGATACTTCTCCGGAGTTGAGGCGCGCTCCGGTGATACGCAGTCACGTTCCAATTGGCCCGCCAGGGCCGTAGCTTCCGCTGTACTGGCATGTTACGCGATCACGGCTTCCTGGGATACGCAGTATTTCTTGCTTCAGACACTAGGCTAAGCGGCGCCACCAGAGTAAAAGCTCACGTTTGAACAATGCAGCCGCCACTCCCAGGGGTACCCAATATTTCTTGCTTCAGTCTCTAGATGGAGCCAAACCAAACAGCATTGCAGGTTGCCTATTGGGAAAAGTGGAGAGCTTTGTGAAAGGAGCTTATTCTGTAATTCTTGCAAGTAACCTTCTATAAACCAGCTTTTTTTAATGCTGGTGACTGTAATGAATCCTGTTATAGGGCGGGTTGATATTATAAATTCTAAAGCACCTAGCACTAAACATGTTTTTTATCTTCTACAGTCATCGTAATAAACGGCAAGAGATGTAACGACATACCTAAGTCTGGCAAAATATGGCGATACAAGTGATACGTTGTACATGAATTTCACTACTGAGATACAAATACATTTGTCAAATGGATCTCAGTACAGAGATACAGATACTCGATAGTTTATCTCTAAGATACTATCGCGATGCATTTGTATCGCGATACTGCCCAGCCCTGATTTGATACAAGGGCTGCATCAACGTTCGGCATCAATTCAGCTCAAGTTTTATCCAAAACGAGTGCTCCGTCACAGTTCGGCGAAGACTCGGATCTTACCACAGGTTTCGTGCCCAAGACATGGCGACCGCCACTGTTACTTGCTTCGAAAAGGGTCTGTTGAATCAAGGTTCGCTAACATGTAGAAGGCTCCCTGAATCTACTTTAACGCGAAACGTTCTTTGGTTAGGTGTTCCGCATTTCGTGAAACTCAGGTAAAAGAGAAGCCTGGATAAAAGCGTGGCCGCGAGGCTCGACACTGATTGGCTAACGAGATGGTCATGTGACCAAATGCGTGGGCGAGGAGGAGCTCTACCACCTTTGCGCACTGAGGAAGAGAAGGTCCGGAGTATGGAAGGCACTGGAAGATCGCCAGGTTTACCAGCCCGAATACTGGTAGTATCGCTTCATTCTAGCAACAAATATCAAGTGAAAACATGATACGCTTTATACTATCCGATGAAAACCTTCGTGAACGTAGGCGTCTGGCGTCTGGAACCTCATCGCTCAACGTTTGTGATGCTAGAACGTTTCACGTGTGCAACACGAGCAATTTGCCATAAATGTTCTTATTGCAAACAAACCTACCAGATTACAGAGGCTGCACTACAATACCAAGATAGAATTTTTTTTTTTTACTTCACTTCACCAGCGTGGCCCAAATGTACTTGCAGCGACGCCACGGGCCCGAAAGCTGCTTTGTCGCAGTGTAAATTTAAAAGAAAAAAAAAAAAAAAAAAAACGACAATTTTTGTATTCTGTCTTTCCTTTGCATTGCTGGATGGCGTAATTGCGGGAATCGCATTGTTGACGTAGCCACAGCGATTACCCCGCGGACCTTGCTGACGATGGTAAAATGTAGTTTATAAATTGGACACGAGCACCCGCGTGAGCTCTTGCCTTGGAATCGTGAAAATATACCTCTTCAAAAGCCACGAAGCAACACTGGTGGTCGCCATCGCTTGGGCCCGAAGCGCGTGATTGGACCCGAGCTATCGCCGAAAGCTGACGCAGCATTCGTCTTCTATACGAGCTGGACCGAGATCACGCCGAAAGCTGGCACAGCCCTTATGTCCACTATGATGTGCCCAAACAATGGGCGGCATGCAAGCAATGACGCACACTTTTGAAAAGGCTCTAGTAATTCATCGGCCAACATGCAAATAGTCGCTAGGGTCAAGTCGCTGCAACCAGTACCACACAGTCCTAGAAGACGAGGCCTCCGCATGACGTCATCGATAGTGGCCTTGTCTTCAAGATAGTGTTGCTGAAAAGCCGGGAAAGGCAAACCCTAACAATGTGTGGAACTTAGCGGGAGCCGCTACGCTTCGCCGACTCCAGCGAATATATTCTTTTCTAAACTGCCTCAGGCATTTCGAAGCGTGTGATTGGGGTCCGCGAGATACCCGTTGCCAAGCACTGACGCGGCGCTCGTTCTCGTCGCGAGCTCGGCCGAGTTCACGCCGAATGCGGACGCGGGCCACGTGTTCACTTGATGCTCAGAGTGCGTGCCCAAACAATGGCGTACTCAAATAATTGGCTCAGCCGCTACGAAATTGCGCCTTGCATCAAATTACGGGGCCGTTCGTTCTGGCTGAGAGTTGAGGCGTGAACAACGCTGATTTTTACCTTTTCTTTTTTTGCGGCTGCCATTGGGTGGAGTGAAATAAAAAAAGTATTTCGTTAATAATTAATATCAAAGATTAATTCTAAGGGTAATTTACCTACATACAAAAAGTTCGTTGCATAGCTCCTTTATTCAGTAAAGACGTGACTTTTGAGAATATATGATGAATGTATATGTTATTGAATAACTCTAGAGTGGGGATCCAACAAAAAGGCAGTGGCACCGTCGTAAAATATATCTCTATATATCTGTCTGTCTGTCGGCCAATGCGTAAAACTTCGTTTTTCTTGAGATAAAAAGGAGTATTGTTTCGGTATGACGGATTCTTGACAGCCTAACTTCGACAGAGAATGGTGAAAAAAAAAAAAAGAATCTATGCTTGTATTTACTTCAAGAACCAAAGTAAAAAAGTCCGGATCCCCGCAAAACGCTATACTAATTCGCACCTACGTTTGTTGACCTAAGATATATGCAGGTGTACCTTCAGTTAACTTTCTGTTATTTATCTAGACGTACACGTTTCAGGCGCCAAAGGAACCGTTACTCTCTGTCACAGCCATATATTGCAAAAACTACTTTGCGCAGTACATAAATAATGAGCAAAACTCCTTTCTTATATATATGACGACGAGTATAGTTGTTTAAGTCTTAACAAGTTGTTTTCAAACAACGGACAACAGATCTCCGAATGGAATTTACTAGCCGAAAGGAACATTTAATAGGAAAAGTGTTTAGGGGTTTCTAGGTAATTAGCTGGCTAATTCTATATTACGCTCTCTACTCAACGTCTGCCGTGGTAAATGACGTCTTCCTGAAGCAATCAGTTCTCTATTTCCAGTGACCTTTCATTTATTTATTAGCCGTCTTCGAAAGAATACCACGAATAGGTAGAAGCGCTCAACGGCGCTCCCTCGGAACCCCCGGCCGGTTGCGCGCAGGTGGTGGTGCTCGGGACGCCTGCCGAAGAGACCGGGAGCGGCAAGCAGCCCCTGATCGAGGCCGGGGCTCTGAGGGACGTGGACGCTGCACTCATGGCTCACACGGGGAGCCGCAACGGGCTGCGCTTTCGCTCCATCGCCGTCTCCAAGGTGGGCGCTGGGCACGAGACGGCCGAGCCGAACCGTTCTACCTTTCACTGGAAATATGCAAAAATGTGGGGGAAAAAAGTCAGCTTTCTTTTGCGTCAAAAGTAAATGACTCATTGGCGATTGCGCATTCTCTGCCCAAATATGCACGTTTTATGTTCATCGGCGGTATGGTAATCACTACACGACGACATTCGCCAGTGCCAGTAATTGATCTAACCTGCATAATAAGCATTTTTCGCTCCTCTTATTATGAGATTGCTCTTCGCTCGCTGGCGGATCCAGTTGACGTACTGGGATTGATATGATCACCCCTGTTTTTGCCAGGGCACAAGATGGACCTATGTTCTTTTTTCCAGGTTCTATGTAAACATAAACGTTAGCTCCGACTGTGGCTCAGAACGTTTTCTATAACGCTGTGCTCTGATGAGCTAACATTGATTAAAAACTAAGGTTGACTCGTACACACAATGTCTTTAAAAGCTTCTTCTAGGAGACGCACCGTGGCGACACGGTATTGTCGCACGCTTCCATAAGCAGCAATCTTTACCGCTTAGGTTCTTGCCCTTAATGGAGACTTTCTGTCATACTAGCAATTTCGTTTGTGGGAGTTATTGAGTTTTAAGGCAAGACAACTGTAAAAAGAAAAACTGGCGATCGATAGGCTTGGCAAACAGAGTTGCGCTAAGTACTTGATGATCACGTGATTGACTACAAAAGTGAGTTCTTCTGACTGCCGGGTACATACTTTGCGCAAAAAGGTTTATTGTAAACTTGTTATGGCATCTCAGAGAAGGCGAGACGGCGCCTGCGATGAACACTCAAAACTCGCGGTCGCACGGACTGATTGCCATTCATTGCCTCAGAACGCTGCCCACAAATATATCATTTTTGAAAAAAAAAAAAAAAAGAATATAAGATGGGGGTATGTCAACATCGCAAGAAAGATGCCTATACGCTCGTCTCAATGAGCGCAGAAGAAACAACAAACAGCATGCATCTGTTCACATCTGGTGCACACTCGAACAGTATCGCAAATCCGCGACGCCGCTCATTGGACAAGTTACACACAGCTTCCGACAGGATGGCTTATAATAGAGTTTTAGAGAACCGTTTTTGCACATCCGATACGGTACGATGGGCCCTCCGGTACGAATTACGCATGCGCTACCACAGAATTACTCGCACATGCGCAGTTCGTACGGGAGGGCCCATCGTATACCGTATCGAACGTGCAAAAACGGTTCTGTAAGATTCTCTAATATTTAGGGTTCCGTATTTTCGCGGTTTAATTTTCTTCTTATTTGGGGGTATTTTTTTTCTCAGAAATAAGGTGACTTCCGGCGCTAATGTTCGGGATCGGCAGCATCTAAAATCGGTGTTTATGTTGAAGAAATTAACGGGCACGGCGTTTCCCAACACTTCCGCGTGGCCCGAATACCTGGAAAACGTGCCAGTACCGATAGAAAAAGGATACGAGGTAAGGGGTCTGGTTTCGAAGAAACAAGTGGCCCAGCGGACATTACAGTGGGGGACATGCGTTCGCAGATAAACACACAACAAAGCTGTTGATAGAAATTTTCTTCGGTTCTTTGCTATTGAAATGCAGCTCTAATTCGGGCTTTCTTTTCTTTCTTTCTTTTTTTTTTTTTTAGAGCGCAGCTTTTAAGCGCCCGTTTCCGGATTGGTCGGCGTCGGCGTACTCTCGCTGTGCATTATGCAACGTCGCAGTTTCCCCGCTAAATTTAGCCTGGAAACTGATTTTGTGTTGAGGTCACGTGACGTCAAATTCCCCGCTAAATTTAGCGGGGAAACTTAACCCGCGAAATTTAGCCGTGAAATTTTTGCTAAATTTCGCGCTAAATTTAGCGAAACAATTTTCGCTAAATTTCCTGTTAAATGGGAGAAGAACGGAAGGGGAGGGGGAGGAGGGGCATACCCTCCCGTCCCCACCTCCCCTCCTCCTCCTCAAGAGCCGCGCTCTAATCCGACATTACAGAAAATTGTAAACGTCTTCCTTTTCTTTTTTTTTTTTTTGTCATTTTGATTGAACCGGCTTGGGGGTTACTTTTTGAGGTTTCTCGGTAATTACCGCATACGCGAAACCCTACTTACACTGCGTGCAACTATTGTCTGGTCCGCTGCAGCTCCATGTGGTCTACAAGGGACGGGCGGCGCACGCCGGACAGGTCCCGTGGGACGGAGTGAACGCCCTGGACGCTGCCGTGAGCGCCTACGTCAACGTGTCTGTGCTGCGGCAGCAGATGAAGCCAACTGCGCGGGTCCACGGTCAGTCGATGTCGTCATGTTCCTACTGGTGTCGGGTCCTTGAACCAACTTCGCTAGACCAACTCCAATTCGATTCGATTCAATTTATTTCACTCCAAAGTATTCGCCTAGAGTTTCGATCGGCAGGCCTCATGTGGTGAAAAGCAGAACTACGCCTTGTTTTACACTTACTTGGAACAAGACGAATGCTTTGAGCGCGAGGCCGAAGCCGTGGGAACCGCCAATGCAGCGCTCGCGCACCAGAGATGACAAAATTACATTCAAAATGTAATTAAATCACATTACATATTATTTTGCTAAAAACTGTGAAAATGTAATTAAACTGAATTACAACTTACCCCAGAACACATGTAACGACATCACATTACAATTACTTTCCAAAAGTAATGAAATCACCTTGATATTGCTCTTGAATCCTTCAAGGCAGTAATTCTTGGTCACACTTATAAAAAATATTATATTCTTACACCCCTTGTCCCATATAATACACCCCAAAACTTCAGTTCGATGTACAGAGCACCGACGTCAAACCGACGGTCCCAACTTTCGCGAGCGGATTGATAGCCGAGTGGTGTAACTTATTAAAATATCTAATGTACGTGTTACTCATTATCGAAAAATAAATTCGGAGTTTTCTGAGACCTACTGCAAAACCTCAGTGTTTTATTTTTGTAGTCTATGATACGTACTTTTGCTGTTCGCACCGTTATCAAGCCCCTTGTAAAAGTTGGGGCCGTCTGTTCGACTATAGCGCGCTGTACGTCGAAATGAAGTTTTGGGGTGTAATATATAGGACAAAAGGGTGTAAGACGACACTGTTTTTTTAGTGCCAAAACCCAGATCTTTCTGTTTACGCCGCAACAGCCTCATGCCCCTCAAAGTGAACAATAATGAGCAGTCGTTCCGCTGGTGCACACGACAGAAGTGTTACACGTGATGAAAAGCTTCTTCCTCGGATGCAGGAATGGGCAAAATACATGCAAATATGTATCGAAATACAAATACAAAATACTTCGTCAAAAATGTATTTAATTACAAATCTAATTACATTTCCAAAAAAAACATTTAAATACAAGATACAAGTACAACCAAATGTATTTGGTCTCCTTCAAATACTTTTCCAAATACATTCCTCAAAATTTGCGTCAGCGACCTCAGGGCATCCGCAACGGGTGTCTGGGTATCTCATTTTAATTGTGCATCGCACACTCGGGAGTTGGTGCGCGAGGCTCTAGTAACGTAATAAAAATATAATCACACAAAAAATGTAATCAGCTTGGACGTAATGGGTGAAAAAAGTACAGAGCTTCAAGCAGCTTTTTTTTTTTTTGTCGATTACATTTTGGTATAGACCAACAAAGAACCGAAACGACCAAGACGTGCAGCACTAGCTAGAGCATTTTTTATTGTTGCAACTCGCACGAGTTACGAAAATCTGGACGACCCGCGCATTTAGAATGTTCCCGGCAAAAATATGGATGGAAATCAGGCTGGAAAGCGTCACAAGTTGTCACAGGCACTTATTTAGCCAGTCTGCCTGTGAACGTCGATTTCGTCCCTATTCTTGCCCTGGACTAGCACCGTAATCACAAAGTCACTAAACGCTTGTGCTTGATTGAGAGACACTGCATTAGGTGCAGAACGTAATTTTCTTCCTGCTCTGGACAGTGACAATAAATTTGAAAAATGTCTTTCCGCCCACTAAATTGTATTTAATTGTTTTCGTCTAAGATTTGCTCGTCAAGTATCTTTTCGGAAAGAGTAGACGACTGGCATTTTTACAGTGCACGTGAGTCGACCAGAGTGAACATTGCTGAAGCGCCTCCAGTGTGATTTTGGCCGTAAATAACTGGAGGCCCCGGGCATACCCACTCAATGTAGAAAAGTATCTACCTTTCTGGTTTCATAGAGAGCTATGAAAGGGACGAATCCCAGCCGAGTCAAACAACCGGCTTGCAAACGCAATCGTGTTGGCAATAGCTCTAAGGAGTTGGCGGTGTGCAGAGGGTAAAGGTACGGAGGTAATTTATGATTTCGCCTAGTCACCTCGCAAACGGTTGGGTATTGGCTACAGAGATCCATTTCGCTTTGTTTTATCACCGGGATTATGGCTTCATTTCTGTGTTCCATATTTCACAGACAGAACGAAATCGCTTTTCTCGTGTGGCGTCACGGCGGTGAGACAGAAATCAATCAGTGTACTGGAATTCGACGCTTGTGCTCGTTCTATAGCGCTTCTAAAAACCGTGCGATCACAGCTGTGCAACGTCAACAATGCATAAACTGCAGTTACTTGTACTCGTATTGCATCGTGAGGGAACGACTATGACTGTGTAAACAGGAATAGGGAGAATGGATGCGTGTGATTTTTTGAAGTTCGAATCAACAAATCAAGCTTCAACGAATGCGATAGCATTGCATTCACTCAACCAGCTATATGAGTTTTCAGACGGTATATACCTTCCAAGTATGCGATTCGTGTTCTGCCAGTGGTATTTCAGCTAAATTAAAAAGAAAAATCCACGTTGAAAAAAAAAAAAGTTTACGGTGACTCGAGCCGCTCCTGCGCAGAATCATGTTTCACGTAAGCGTAATCTTGGGGTCGATGCACGACGAGGGGTCTTCAATCATAAAAATAGTTTGATTACGATTATTGGCAACGCTAAAAATTTGAAAGCCAAGCAGTGAAGACAACGGTGTTCTTATAAATATTATATACATTTTATTTTACACTGTTTGAATACGCTTTCGTCGTTATGTTCTTGAATTATTGGCTAGCTTGTGGCGGACACGGAAGTCTTGCAGGTCCATATGATAGGAGCTACACTAAACCTGCCGCGCTGGGAAAAATGTTAGTCCAATGCATACAAGCTTGTTCAAGGCGGACGGAGCGTTGCGCATCCGGCAAAGCGCATTCGGTCGCTGCCCGCGGCGTTTTTCTTTTCTTTTTTTTTTTTCGAGCAGCGCAATAATTTTTGGTCAAGCAGCAGACCCCCTTTTCGGCGGGTTAGGCCGGATTAACAAAGGCGTCTCCTAATCCATTCTCCGTGTTGTCCCCTCGGGGAAGGGCGGTAAACAAGGGGGGGGGGGGGGGGGGGGGAGCGGTGAAGGAAGGAAAGGAGGGCAGGAGAAGAGGAAACGCAGAAAAAGTGGAAAGCGCGAACTGTACGGCGGCCTTTAAGAACATTGTCGGTGTCACTATTCAATTCACGATCAACAGCGGACAGAAAAATGTTACAATGCACAGGAGCGACGCATGACCCAAAACAAATGCCCTTGCGCTGGATAAACAGCCGGTCATCGAACGACACAAACGTGCTACCTAGAACTGTTGGAGGCATTCTTCATCAAAAGACGTGGGACGGCATGTGTCAGCGACACTTCTATTCTGCTTCATAGCAATTAATTTCAGTATTTGAATGATCGGGTACAAGATTAATCAACTTGTCAGCAAGAAAGATAAATTTTTTTTGCTTGTTCACAACTCTTTTTTACTAAAATAGATGCTACAGGCGCCCATAATGTCCTTTCTTGCTTTCACGATATTAGGCATATGCGAACGTCGGGTTCATAAAGAAATTTTGTCTTTCTCAATTATCGTCTGATCCCGGTAACGTGAAGTTCTCAAACGTTTGGGTTCTATCCACACCGCTAGCGTCACATTGTCACGAAAGTTCGAAATTTATGCGATGCATAGTTTATTTACCCGGGCCGAAAAACATGGGTCTCTTTTCTCGAGAACGCCCTGTATACAAGGCGTTCTCGAGATACAGTGTACTCAACGAGCGGTGGCCGGAGAGACTGCATGCGTCATCTACCGGCTCACTCTGGCAGCTTGTGCCGCTGTTGTTTCCTGGGGTTACACTCCCAGCTCCTAAACAATCACCGACGCGTGACTCGGCGATAAAAAACAAATAAAGTCGCTCTTTGCGATTTTGTTTTTTTTATGTTTGAAGAAGGTGGCCTTTATCAGAGAAATTGCAAGGTCACTGAGATATGGTAGCCTCGTCGCATGGTAAATCCGCAGGTGTGATTAAACAGAGTGACAAAAACAACAAAACAAACAAGTAACAATTTAAAGCGTGGGTGATAAAGAAAAAAACGAGGGGGCATGCGATAATTGTATCGGGGAGTGGCGACAATCGCAAGAAGAGAGGCCTTATTCTGTGCCGCATCATTGATTTAATCGCTAGACAGCTCTGGGGCTCTAAACTCGTCAAACACACAGTTGGGGCCGAAGTTGACGGAGCGCACAGGTTGGACGATCGCGACAATGACTTAGCACTTTTGTCGCCGACGTCCAATCGGCGCGCTCCGCGAACTTTCGGCTCCAACTTTGTGTTTGACGAGTTTAGGGCCCCTGATATCAGTTTCGGCCAAAACTCCCGTGCTATATTTCGCAGTTGAGCACACTGTACGTGCAGAGGAATGGCGTGAACTATGGGGAACGTGCCCCATTTTCCCATCGAAAATTTCAGAAAATCACATAACTTTCGAACATAACAAGCTACAAAACTTGAAAGTATAAAACAGAGAGGACGAGGACGGGAACAGGACTTCTTTGTCCTGTTCCTGTCCTCGTCCTCTCTGTTTATACTTTCAAGTTTTGTATCTATTAACCAGCACGCTCGTTTTCAATTATAACAAGCTTTGAAGCTGACATCTGCTTCGGACCGCTATCGGTACATAAGGATGGATGCTGAGCGTTTGGTGACCCGAGTATAGTTTAATTTTGCGGTAAAAAAAAAAAAAATACACATTTTGTTTATATGGTTTTTGTGCCTCCCTCGTTCGCACGCGTTCTTTTCGGCCGCTGAAGGTGTGATCACGGAGGGCGGCGTGTCGCCCAACGTCATCCCCGAGAGGACGGTGCTGGACTACTCTGTCCGGGCGCCCACCACCGAGGACGTGCTGGAGCTCAAGCCCAGGGTCGAGGCGTGCTTTAGGGCCGCGGCCGAAGGCTCCGGCTGCTCCGTGAGCACCACCGTTCCGTCGCCCATGGTCAAGCACCTGGTCACCAACGAGTTCATGGTCCAGGTCTACAGAAACCACGCCGAGGAGCTCGGTATGCAACGTGTCCACACCTGCCTCGCTAAGACACTTGCTCCTAAACAGTTTGCGAGTTCACTGACTTTTCTGCAGAACATAAAGACAACCCGTCACGGCGAACAATAAAATAGTACCAGTGAATGAGGAGCCTCAGATTATGGTTAGATCTGACAAATGACATGTGCGCAGGGACATTGGGGAAGTGAAACATCGGAGGACAAAACAAAGGAGGACGCTGATTGGACACAACTACCGCGTCGGCGTTCTGCTAGGTGTGTTGAAACGGTGAGAAGACGACTCCTAGCCCAACGATGACGTGTGTACAATCACCGGCTTCCACGGGCCTACTTTAATAACGCTCGAAAGCACTTAGTTTTTTTTGTTTGTTTTTTTCCTTATCTACGAGGTGTTCTTTAGACGCTTCACTCGATGTCGTTTGTTTGTTTCTTTTTTTGTTAATAATTTTCGCATCTTTACCTCTTAGTGTTTTCCACGCGCCGTTTCACAATGGTGACCTTTGAAGCTCCGATACCAGCACTAAGTATAACGTTCCGGTCAGCTCTGATTCCGTGTTATTTTAAAAGCTGATTCAACACTGAGGTAGCATTGCATTTTAATTGTGAACGTTCATTAATACCCTCGTTACACGGTCACACTTAGCTGGAGTCACGCGAAGCAACCGTTACCCATTTGCGGACACCTTTCTGAGGCTATGCAGTCAAAGTTACGTGAGCACGCGCGCTTGTGCATTTTGAGTGCCCATCATAGCTTTGCACGCGCACCCTTCACTTCCGCAATATCTGCTCTAGAATATGGTAGCTCTGGTTTAGCCTAAATGCAGTAAAGTCGACTTAACTGCGGTTAAGGGTGCCCTTGTAACTATACTATTTTTCACCTCAAGAAAAAAACAAGTTTTGCGCATTGTTCATACGCCGCGCGAAGTAGTTCTTACAAGATTTGGTCGTCAGAAGAAGAAGCGATGCTTTTGGCGTCTGAAACGTCTACGTGTTGATAAGATAGCATTCGTCTACTCTGAAATGCACCTACATAAATCTTAATTAGTCATGCTCCGCGAGGAGCCGGACTTCATTTTTTTATCACGGTTCTTGAGGAGAAAACCAGTATGGGGTATTATTTGCCCATCTTATTGCACCACTCAAACTGAGGCAATCAAAACTATTCTGTACCGGGTCTTTAATCGAATATCGGCCAAATTTGTCCCGCGAAAACTAGAATTGCGCAAAAATGCAATTGGTGCCGCATCAGTCTCCAGATAGGAGCCAATTCAGTGAGCTACATCGCGTTTCGGATAACTACTTTATATAAGTAGTTGTGCATAATTAATGTTTTAATTAATAAAAATGAATGTGTAGTTCTAATTGTAGACTTGCTGGTCATTATCAAAAATAACTAAATGAGTAACTTTTGGACATACCTTGAGCGCGTGGTCGTGTGCGGAAGTTATTAGACTGAAAATGACCATGATAAGAAACGAATAAACTGCGAGGGCACTTCGAAGTTGAATGCCGGTCCGGGACCCAGAAAAAAAAAGTACGCGCTCAATATATTCAAAATTCGAATGATTTAGTTCTTTTCAATGATACCGTCTTTTTTCTTTTTTTCAAAAAAGTAGACGTGCTTATTTTTACCAATTAAAGATTATTTTTGTGGAACTAATGTATTGCCACGCGCGGGGCCGAGCAAAGCAACGCTCGGCCACGGACTTCTAAAAGGTCCTTGTCTATTCGTACTCGGGACGTACCTTTTATCATTTTGTCCAGCTTTCTTGTTCTCCAAAGTGCCTGTTCATTCTCACCCCGAACGCCCAATGCCCGAACCTTCTGGGCCGAACTTTCGAATGCTGACTCGCACTGCATAGGGAGCTGCGCGCCGAATCGCCGCCAGCTTTTCTGCTGTCTCGACGCTCGTTATTTACTTTGTTTGGCACAAGTTTGCCAATTAAACTTTCATTTTGAAAGGGGATTTTCGCCGCTTCTTTTCCTGTCAGTCGTGACACTATAACTTCTAATCACTATGTACCTGGGTGATTTTCTCTCAAATCGAGCAGGGTAAAAATAAATTCTTATTTATATGAAAAAAAAAAAAAAATGGGGGGATCTTCTTACAGGGGCCCTGCAATCATATTTAAGGTTTACCTTTTTTGCGGTTTCCACGTCTCTCGGGGCTCGGGCAAGCCAGCGGGCACGGAGAGAGTAACTAAATATCAGTGCGTCGTATTCGAACCGGACGACGCGGAAACCTCTTCCACCTCCGCGCGCGATATGTGACGTCTTTGGTCCTGGGCCTACTACTGGTCAGAGCCGCTAAGAGCTTCCTTTTAGTCGAAATACAAAATATAAGTGGCGCGAACCGTTTCAATTATTTATAAAATTAGTTTTTGTTCAGTTTTTTTAGATCAGAAAAGAAACAAATGAAAGTTTAGAAAGTACGAAAGCAAGAAATGACCCGGCCGTCGACATACCCGCCACAAAGCAGTGGAAAAGGCGGCGCGTACCAGAAAGGGGTAGTGGGATCAGGCACCGACCAGCGACGAGCGTAGAAAGGTCCCGGATGAACGCGGCGGCGCTGCGGTCATAGGACCGGAGGATCCGACCGGTTCCGAGCGTTCCGAAGGCCTTCGGCGAGCAGGAGTGGCTTGCGGTTTGGCCGTTTAGCGGTATGGCAGCGCGAAGTGGCTCCCTTCTGAACTGATATTTACCCCGTGTTTGCTGTCGTTTGTGGCCAATAAAATGTCATGCCGAATTACTGTTTAATCGCGCAGCAAACGCAGTGCGAGCCGCCCTGGCTGCCTGCTTCATGATACAGCCTATCCAGAACATGCTTTAGTGGCGCCCTCTCGAGCCGTCGACAGGAGCGCGGCAGCCGTGAGCGCTCGCTAAGCTCACTACCCCTCCTCTAGTTCACGGCGACTGCGACCAAGGACTAGGGATGCCGCGAACTTTTTTCGAATCGAAGTTTCGATGATCGAATCGAGCGGTTCGAAAGATTTCGAATTTTCGAACTTTCCATATCGAGAAATTCGACGGAAGTCGAATTTTCGAACTTATTGAACTAAGAAGTTCGACAATTTTCGAATTTTCGAACTTATTACGCTGCAAAATTCGATGCTTGTCGAACTTTCGATTTGATAGACAAAAAAATCGATGATTTTCGACCTTTCGAACTTCTTGCACTAAAAAGTTCGAAGCTCTTCGAACTTTCGAACTTCCTACGCAAAGAATTGCGATAATTTTCGACCTTATTAATCTAAAAAATTCGAAAATTGTCGAACTCTCGATTCCTGAAAAGTCAAAAGTTCGACGAACTTCGATATTTTAGGGTAAAAGGTCGAAGCTCGTCGAACTTCGAAAGACCGGCGGGCGGTTTCTTTTGGATTCAAGCAGTGAGGTACATTCGTAATTTTTTTTTTCGCAATTTTACATGGGGTGCCGCATTCCTTGCGAAAGACAATGCCGTTTATTTCAATCATCTGGCATGCTTGGTTTTAGAAAAATAGATTCCCGAAGGAGCGAGGAAGGACGACGGGTTTGCGACAATTGTCGTTTGTGCCATATTTGAAGCGCGTCATAGCCGAAGCTATTCATGGTAGAGATGTTAAACTTTTTAAGAATGATCTATATATAGCCTAGGTGAGTGTCGTCTTAAGATATGATTATTGTTGCTCCAAAACAAGTTTCGAATAAATATCCAAACACGTACCTACGGACAATTATGCGCTAGACTTGATAATTTTTTTCGCCTACAATGTTTGGGTATCGCATTTAAATTAACACCAGAGACAGTACATATCATTACCATCTGCAGAATACAAAAGAATGTATTGTTTTTTCACGTCGAGGAATAAATTAACTCAAGGGGGAAGATTTCTAAAATTGTTCAAGTTCAGCGCGTCATAAAAAAAATTTTCTTTTTTCTCATTTTACGCTTTTGGGACGTGTTTTCTTTTGGCCTGTACACATTTCGGTATTAGAAACTTGTTTCATAGTTCTGAGCCTCTGAATATGGAAGAACACACTTCCGGCAGGTTCTTGATAGCTTTTTTTTTCTCTCCAGCTTTTTATTTTTGCATTTATTGTTGTTTATTTATTGATTAATTTTTACCAATGGCACAGTTATTTAGGTCGAAAAGACAGCTTTGAACTTTCGAGCCACCGAGCATGAGACGAGTAGTGCCTCCTGACAACGAGTTTCTTGTGGAGGGTTCGAATCCCGGCCGAGGTGGCGTGCCCGCAATCTGACGGAGGCTTATTGCGGAGAAGGCGCCGTGTAACCGAGCTTTCGGTTGCACGTCAAAAGATCCCCCGGTGGTCCAAATTAATCCTCCGTCCTCCGCTGGGGCGTGCCAGATGCCCGTCGTTGGTTTGACACGTAAAACCCCCAAATTTGACTTTTTGACAACGAGTTTCTAAAGGCCTGTTCACAGATGCAGCGGAGCGCAACAAGCATAGCGCTGACCTCGTGCTAAGCACATGCCGACGGGAGTAGGGTGACCACCCGTCCCGCGACTCGCGGGACTGTCCCGCGTTGAGGGCTCGTGTCCCGCGTCCCCAAGAGATACCGAAATTTTTAGTATGTCCCGCATTTCACGTTGTCGTAGCATTCACTGCGCAAATTATGGCGCTTCCGAAGAACAGGCCACGGGGTAGCGCGAAGGTCACTGATAAACGTGTGACTCTCGATGGTATGCTATTTTCTATACAAGCACTGCGGGAAGCGACCGTCGTTCTTGCAGGAGAGGGACGCGCCTGTGCCGTTGTCTCTCCCCTTGATGACAAAATATTGCGAGCGAATATTGCTCTCCAAAATTTGAAAAATAAACTATTGTAATTATTTGCAAATCATACTGTGTCATGTGAAACGGTTGTTGTTGAAAGCATTTTTAGTGGAGACGGCCACACAAAGCAAAACAACTGCAACCCACAAAGATCGAAAAAAAAAAACAATATAAATTTCTAACTTTGTGCAAGAGCATGTTAGTATAAGAGTAAGTATCGA